TTTCATATGTTATATATTATAAGACTACTTTACCCTCTAAGAAAATAAGTGAAATACATAACAGTATACGTGAAGCTATTAACAAAAGTATTAACCCAACATGCCCTCAAACTTAAGCTAGGAAGGAAGGGTGACAATGATTCATATATAACAGTATACGTGAAGCGCCCTCAGCCTTGAAGTGGCTTAAAAGATGGAGAACCCTTGATTACGCTCTAAATTAATAAGTTTCATGTTAGGATAAGGCAGAATCTTAAAAGTTATTAACAAAAGTATATCTATATGTAGCAATCTGATTAAATTAACTAATCCATTGCTTTGCTGGTAACAAAAACCAACCCCTGTCAATGTTGAAACCTTAAAGTTGGGCCCATGCATGTGGGAGCAACATGTACAGTGTTCGCACTACCGGTCAAGTTCCTAAGTCCCTTCACCAAATAAAGTTTTTTCTAATGAATTTAATCCAAATATAACATTTGTTCATTCAAAATGGTTCGTTCTCCACCCCCTCTCTCTTTTTTTTTTTTTTTTGTTTTGTTTGTGACGGTAGGTGGTGTTGGGGGGGGGGGGGGGGAGCAAATTGGCCCGTCTGCTACTAACGAAATCATTTCCTTTTAATGTATTTGAAATTATTAAAGTTTTGTGATGGCCTTTGCTTTGAATGCAATCCAAAGTAGGAGTTAGTCTAAGTTACATCCATCTTTGATCTTATCCATTTGCATGTCCCCAACTCATTATGAGTCACAAAATTTTGTGGGTCCCAATTATGAACCCTAATGCCAAATCCATTGCACGACCAACTCACCTACCTTCCTTTTTAAGTGAGATTGAATTGATCTTTGATGGTGGGGTTCGTATAATTTGAGATATGATGCATTCAAGTGTAAAAAAAAAATATTGTTGTATGATTTCATAGTGTTCATGTAGGAAAAGAAGGGAGCCACTCTTTCTTATGATTTTATTAAGGGAAAATTGCTTGGAGGAACTCCAAAAAGTTGGGTTGTACATCCTCCTCCCCTGCCAAAAACCCCACGCTCTCCAACCCTCATACTAAAACTTTAGTGCATATATACCCCCAATATTGTACAAGCTCACTACGCAATAAAGCTATTCCGAAATTACCCTTCCCATTTAAAATCATAAAAAAGAAATAACTACTCTGAAAACCCCCCTCTTGAGCACGATCTTCGAAACCCTCTGCAACCATTTTCCCATCACCCTCTTCCTCTCAAAATCTTTCTCCTCCACCGTTGCCGATGAGAAATGAGAACCCCGACCGCCGAAGAGAACCCCGACCGCCGAAGAGAACCCCTACAGCTTCGATTTGTCGCCCCCTGATCGTATTTGCTTCGTCATCGCCCCCTATGGCCAAAATTAAAGAAGGAAGCTCGTCGTTGCCTTCACTCCGACAAGGACCCCGCTGACCGCAAGCTCGTCGTCCGCTCCTCCACTCGTCATTGTATTTGCTCCGTCGTCCGCCGACCACAAGTCCCACTTCATCACCAAACCCTCAATTTGTTGAAAATATAGGATGATGAATTCATCATCTGCATCATCTGAGTCATCTAAATCAACAACAATAAAGGCTGAGTTGTAAGTATCAACTAAATTATCCATATTTGTTCATTTATTTGTTTGGCATTGTGAATTTATCCGCAGTAGAACCCTAAGTAGATTTAGTTTCTCTTGTGTTGTGTTTTACTGATACGAGTCGCCATGCGAGCACCTTTGATCACGGAATTATCAAAGGTGGGGTTGAGAAGAAAACAGTAAAGTCACACAAAATAGTTTAATTGGCGAATGAAAATACCTTCTCTAGATTATGAAGAATTTAAAAGATTACAAAATCCCTCCCTCACAATCTCACTAGAATAAAGAACAACCTCTCTATTCTCTTTTTAATCCAATCTGATGTTTAGAAACCCTAAACAATCCCTATTTATTTGTCAAATAATGTGGATGACAAAAACGTAAATAACTAAGCCCAACTCAACTTGGAATACGCGTCAAACAAGAGTCCAGATTTACCCAGGAAGCCCCATCGGTCGACCGACATGCCTCTGTCGGTCGACTGGACAGAGACATGGTTTTCAACCCTGTAATCGGCCACGCTTTAGGTCAACGACATTGGTTAGTCGGTCGACCGATATGCCCTTGTCGGTCGACCGATGTCAACCAACCGGTCGACCGACCAGAGTCTGTCTGTCATTTTCTGATTTCTTCTGTTTTCCTGCTTTTGACCTATTTTGTCACCACCAATGACTCCACCCACGCCTCTATTCTCACTCTACCATGAGAATCTTCTATCCTCAAGCTCCCATGAGGATCGCTAAGCTCCCGAAGTAAAGAGAAGATATACCTGTATCATGGCTCCCCTCATTAGGAACTTGAAGTCCCATTCAAATTAGATTTTCAGCTGGGGGAACTCTCGAGTCCCTCATTCTTTGTTGAACCACATGGCCTTGCTAGGAACCAGACCTTGACGTCCAACCAGAAACGATTCCTTCATCCCCCGTCTAGTCATAGTCACATTGTGTTCCAAAATGCAATCCTCTTTCAATGGTTCTTCTCTATCAAACCATAAGTCTTCAACATACAACAAGATCACTTTGTCGTCACCTTCATCATCCAGCAATGGAGGCTTAAACAACTTCAGATACTCGACATTGAGCACCGAATGCATGCCTAAGTAAGGTGGCAAATCCAGCTTGAAGGCGTTGTTATCGATCTGATCAAGAATTCAAAACAGACCATATCGTATAGGCTTTAACTTCTTCCCTTCTCCTTTTAACTGCTCCTTACTTAACTTCAGCCACACCATGTCACCTTTGCCGAAATTACAAGGAACTCGATGTTGATCATGTTTTGCCTTGTACTTCGCTTGTGACTTCTTCAATTGAGTTTTAACCGTAGCTTGAATCTGTGTAATCTTCTCTAGAAATCATTAAGCTCATTATCTTTCGCTCCCTTCTTTGCCGCTGGCCATATCTTCAATAGAGAATACTAAGTCGAACGGACTTGGAGGTAAAAACCCATAACACGTCTCAAATAGTGACTTTCCCGAAGATCCATGAATAGCCCTATTGAAAGCAAACTAAATGTATGGTAAGCTCTCATCCTAAGTCTTGGGATGCATGGAATTATACCCCCGCAACATGTGAACCATAGTCCGGTTGACTATTTCTGTTTGCCCATCTGTTTGTGGATGAAAGGTCATACTCTTCTTCAATTTAGTGTCCATCAAACTCCACAAAGAATCCCAAAAGTGCCCGAGAAACCGACTATCCTGATCCGAAATAATCAAACTCGGTAACCCAAAGTGCTTTCACACATGCTCAAAGAACAACTACACTGCACCCGCTCCCGTCACGGTCTTTTTGCAAGGAATGAAGATCACCATCTTGCTGAAACGGGCTACCACAATGAACAAGTAATCATGCCCGCGCTTGGTCGTTGGCAACCCTCCTAGGAAATCCATAGAAATACTCTCCCATAGTCTAGAAGACACTAGCAACGGTAGATACAATCCTCTCTTTCTATTAGAAGGCTTCGATATGCAACATAGCTTACACCCTCCAATAAACTTAGTAACATCCTCTAACATCTTTAGCCAAAAGACATGGCATCGCAGATTGAGAAGCGTCTTCTGAATCCTAAAATGACATTGTACATGTGATGTATGTGTTCCTCTAATCCACTGCAACCTATCGCCATCTTCCGGAATGCAAAGAGATGTCCCACTATATAACAAGCCATCGGCTCCAAGCTCATACTCCCCCCTTCGACCAGCCTTCACCTGCTTGAACATAGTATCGAAGTCTCTGCTGGATGTGTACATCTGCACATACTCCAAAGGAACCAAGGGATGAATACGCGTGGCCACCAATAAAGCCCTAACTGGCGGTCGAGATAATATATCGGCCAACTTGTTCGTCGCCCCTTTCTTGTACCTAATGACGATATTGAACGCCATCAAATAGGACATCCACTTTATTTGTCGTGCCTGTTGCAGCTTTGTCTGGACATGTAGAAACTCCAATGACTTATAATCTGAGTGCACAACCACTTCCTTACCCAACAAATATACCCTCCAATGCTTGATCGCCTGATAAAGCGTATAAATCTCATTGTCATAAGTCGGGTAGTTCTGAACAGTACCCGTGAACATCTCAGAATAGTACTCCACCGACTTCCCATCCTGTATCAACACTATGCCCATAGCATAACTAGAAGCGTTGGTATCTACCTCGAAGGTCCTCTGTAAATTTGGTAACGCTAACACCGGTACCTCCGAGATCTTCTTCTTCAGTAATTGAAAAGCCTCCTTATGCGTCTACCCCCACTCAAACTAAACATTCGCCTTCGTAAGGCCATGTAAAGGTGCTGTATAAGTAGAAAAACATCAAATGAACTTATACAAATATTGGCAAGCCCCCATGAAGATTCTCACATCCGTTACTTTCCTAGGCGTCGGCCACTTTGTGATCACTGCTACCTTGCTTGGATCTATCCTCCGCTGGCCTTTCTCCACAATGAAGCCGAGATACACCAACTCGTCCTTTCCAAATTCACACATCTTCCCGTTAACTATCCCGCAACACTTCAAACATCTTCTCAACAAGAACGAAATGCTCCTCCCAGGTCCTGCTGTACACCAAGATATCATCGAGGTAAACTATCACAAAATCCTCTATAAAAGGTCATAATAAATCATTCATGAGCCTCATGAAGGTCGCTAGAGCATTGCATAATCCGAACGACATCACCAACCACTCGAATTGGCCTTGCTTGATCTTGAACAGAGTCTTCCAAGTGTCATCCTCTCGAATCCTCACTTGATGGTAATCAGACTTAAGATCCAACTTTGTGAGGAACCTCGCTGCTTCCAACTGGTCCATAAGATCATCGATCAGTGGTAGTAGGTAACGATTCTTTACCGTTATCTTGTTGAGTATCCGGTAATCCACTCACATGTGCCAGCCTCCATCCTTCTTGGGCACTAACAACACTGGCGACCCGCAAGGCAAACAACTCGGCACTATCACTCCCGTCTCCAGAAGCTCCTGAACTTGCTTCTTTATCTCTTTGGACTTCTGTATTGATGTGCAGTAAAGACCTATATTCAGTAAAGAACTCTCTCCCGTCAACATAATCTCGTGCTCCACACTCCGTCTCGGCGGTAGTCCAGTGATCTTTGAAAATAAGTCCGCATACTTGGCCTTCAACCTGTCAAGATCTCCCTCTTAAAGTTTGCTCAAGGTTGTCAAGCATACTCTACTCAGCTGCTCCTCGTAAGGCCTAATGAATAATAAAATAAACTTCTTGCTTACATTCACTAGACTCTTCGTTTGAGTCATCGTCACCAAGATCATCTCCTATGGAAGAGATACTGAACGAAATATGAATTGTTCACCATCGTTGGTGAATGTATACTTCTGGGCCCACCTGTTATAGACCGCATACCTATCCCACAAATAAGGATTGCCCAGTATAACCTGATAAATATCCAATGAAACAGTGTCACACGTGACCTCATCAATATACGACTCGTGGAGTGCAAATCTGAAAGTGCATTGATTTATCATACTCAGCCCCGACTCCTTCTGAATCAACCCTAAAGGATAGGGCTTTAGATGCTTGACCGTCTTGAGACACATCATCTAAACCAAGGCCTCGAATATCAAATTCTTCTGGCTCCCTGGATCAACGATGGCATCAACAAAGTTGGTCTTTACCTACAACTTAAGAACAAAGAGTTGCTCCCTGGGGTCTTCATCTTCCTTCGCGGTCTGCTTCCCTACCATAAGGGTAAGATTACTGTTGAACTCTATCATCCCGAGGACTTCCTTTGGACCTTGTGCTATCATTTATACCTTTTTCTCCTCCTCTTTCTTCAACCCCTTTGGCTTCATATGGGGATACTTCTCCTAGCATCGATCAGTTACGTGCCCTATTTGCTTGTAATGATTACAAGTCAAACCTGCATTCACTGGGTCGCCCTTCTTTTTCTCCTTCTTAGGTTGGGAGCCACTAGACTTGCCTTCCGCTTGTTTGGCATCCCCTTTTGTATTACTGCCTTTCCTCTACTTGGCCTTAATAGAAATAGCCGTCACGCTCACCTCTGTAATCAACTCAACCATGAACTGCTTCATTTCCTTTTAGATACATTCATTTAGACCCGCCATATACTTTATAAAAATAGAGTACTCCTCCGTTGCGATGTTAAGGATCATCGCCTGTTGCTGAAACTCTATGGTGTATTCTTGAACGGTCTGATTGAACCTCTAGCGCAACCCATACCACTTGTACCAACGCTCTTCAAGGAACCCCACCGGGTAAAACTGCTTCTTCAGTAGCTCCTTGAACTTATTCCACGACACCGCTTTCTTCTCCTGCTTATAGTGGGATTTTCACCACGTCAATGCGTGTCCGGATAGCTTCAATGTCACAAAAATAATCTTCTCTTTTGACGAATAGCCATAAAGAGTAAAATAGGTCTCCATACGCCCGATCTAATAATCAAGCCTCTCGACGTCAATACTTCCATCATAAACAGGAATCTCTACTCTGTAATCAATCTTCAGGTTATGGTAAGGACCCTTACTCCCTTGATGTGGACCAGTCTTGACGGTCTCGACCTCCTCATCGGAATCTGAATTTTTACTCTCTCTACCAGACTCTACAAGGTTCTTCTTGGACATCGAAGAAGATTCACCCTTTTTTCCCCTCCATGGATGAGATCAATGAGTTGTGTGAGAGTCGGCCCGATTGTTTCGATTTGTTTCTCCAACGCATCAAGCCTTGTTGAATTGTCACTTTCTGTCATCTTCTTCTTCCTTGATTTCTAGACTTCTTCCAAAGAAACAAGAATCTCACCTAGCTTCTTGTATTGAGATCGAGTAAGCACCATACACAGGATTGCCTCTTCACAGGGTTTGATTACTCTGATACTAACTTGATACGAGTCACCGTGCGAGCATCATTGATCGCGAAATTATCAAAGGTGGGGTTGAGAAGAAAACAATAAAGTTACACAAAACAGTTCAATTGGCGAAGGAAAATACCTTCTCTAGATTATGAAGAATTTAAAAGATTACAAAATCTCTTCCTCGCAATCTCACTAAAATAAAGAACAACCTTTCTATTCTCATTTTAATCCAATCTGATGTTAGAAACCCTAAACAATCCCTATTTATTTGTCAAACAACATGGATGGCAAAAACATAAATAATCAAGCCCAACTCAACTTGGAATACATGTCAAACAAGAGTCCAGATTCACCCAGGAAGCCCTATCGGTCGATCGACATGCCTCTGTCGGTCGACTGGACAGAGACAAAGTTTTCAACCCTGTAATCGGGTTGGTGTCAACCAACTGGTCGACCGTCCAGAGTTTGTTTGCCATTTCCTAATTTCTTATGTTTTCCTGCTTTTGACCTGTTTTGCTGCCACCAACGGCTCCATCCACGCCTCTATTCTCACTCTACCATGAGAATCATCTATCATCAAGCTCCCATGAGGATCACTAAGCTTCCGAAGTAGAGAGAAGATACACCTGTATTATTTACAGTAAGCGTGATATAAGAATATATTGTAATATACGTGGATATTGTGAATTCATGGATAAAATTATTCCACGAATGAGGGCCAAACATTAGAAGCCTTATAGATCGTCTAATTTCCAAAACTGTATTAGTTATGGAGAAATTCCATCTGACAAAACCACGATCATACTACAGATAGATCACCTCGATTTGGATACTGGAAAGATTTTTTTAAGGATAGCCAAACGGGGAAAAAACAAGCCTACACATTTGATGTAAATTGAGTGTAAAAACATACCCGGTTCAAGGATGAAGGAGAGAAACTGGAAGGGAATTGTGATACGACAAATAGGATATGGAGTACGTACTTCAGTAACAAGTAACAAGATGCTTATAAGAGTGGCCAAGATTACCATGAGGCCTTATTGGATAAACTAGCTGGGTAAAAAAAAATCAGATATTTATGACTTTATTATGCTTCAAATCATTTATCAACTAACAATGATATGGACTCCAACTGTAGAATGAATGCACCATAGCATATGTTGAAGTATATGACTTGGATAGATGTAGTTAATCATTTACCATGGGCGACCATCATCTACAATGAATTGTGGGATTCTCTAAAAGCTACCAAAGTAGCTACAAAGGGACTAACATACCTAAGTGGCCACGCTCCTTTGCTATTAGTGAGTTATTTGTACTATTTGTAATTAATATGTAGCGTTTGCCACTTAGTTATGAAAATTGTCTTTTACATGTGATATTTGTTAGTGATATGTGACATTTATCCCCTATATGTGACATTGATCTCTGATTTGTATTACTTAATTATGATATTTAAAGTTAATATGTGACATTTGTCTCTAACTTGTGATATCTGACGTTTACATGTGACATATGTTACTGATATGTGATATTTGTAATAGTTTTAACCTACGATAAGTGATATGAAATGAGCTGACTTTTTTGAATGAATGTTGCTTTTTTTGAAGCTATATGGTACTATGAGATAACAAACATCAAGGAATATGCCAGAGTGAATGATTCCAAGCCACCCATGATAAATTGGAATCTGGAAGATAAGAAAGTGGGTTCATTACGGAGTGCAATGATTTTGAAGAAGTCGGAAGCTGCAACCCACATCTTACCAGAGCAAGATATGCCGTAGTACGTGCATGAGGAGATTAAGCAGAGCCTACAAAATGGAAGGCTAAAAGAGAGGAGAAATTGGACTCTGAAAACTCTTTAAGAAATAAAAGAGTCAAAAAAGAGGAAGGGAGTCAATCGACTGTTGCATTGGTGAGACAAGTTTATTTCTTATCATGTGATGTTTTCATTTTAATAGTAATAATAGTCTTTTATGTGATTATTGTTTATTGCATGTGACAGTTATATGTACTCTCTGACAATAAGTGTTGCTATTTGACTTTTACCTATTTTCTATGATATTTATATGAAGACTGTGATACATTGCTATCTTTGCTAATTGGTTGTTCCCTATGACAATTAGCACTTTATTATGATAGATGTAGCGTTTATGTGAAATTTATGTGTTGACCTTCTTATATGTGAGGTTTGCTCACTAAAATTTAATTATTAATGTAGACTGAAGCTTATGAAAAGCCGTCAATGCTGAATGAAGCCTATGAGCAAGAACTTATCTCACTTGGCGTTGATATGAAGGCCATTAAGGTCGATATCGAGAAAAAAGTTGCTGAACAGAAACAAGAAAGAGAAAAGAAGGATGAGGAGGTAATAAATTTTCTCCTGCTTCATGTACTCATTCGTTCTTTGTAAAAGTATCATTTATTGCTTTGACATATATGTAGCCTCAGAAAGAGATAGAGAGAAAAGATGAGGCAGAGAAAGAAGATGATTGAGGCAAAGAAATGGAAGAAGTAAAGGATGACAGAGCAAACATGGGCATTGAAGTTGAAGAGGTAATACACATAAATCATGTAATAGTTATTTGTTTCCTGTGATGTTTACATATTACACGTGGCAATTGCATATACTCTGTGACAGTTAGTAATTTCCTGTGATACGTGCATATTTCCTATGATATTTACATATTTCCTGAGATATTTCCTTATTATATGTGATAGTTGGCTCTTTATTTGACATTTTTGATCTCCTATGACATTTACTTCATCTCTGTGACTTAAACAATTTGCCTGTGACATTTACTTATTATTTGTGATACATAAATTTCCCTTATTACATTTGATTATATCGTGTTTCTGTGACATACACTCATTAACTGTGGTCTTTATATAGCCCGCAGATGTGAAAGTAACTAAGGAAGTTTCTAAAAATAAAAAAGGAAGGAAAAGGAGGAAGGAAACATATGAAATGTTATAAGAATTTGTTCAGAGGCTACGGGCAAGGAGCCAGAGAACAACAAAAAAGCCCAAATCCTTAGAATCTCCATTCTAAATAGTTATCCCTAAGAAAAGAAGTAAAGGGAAGAAAGCTATCATCATGGTGTTGATGACAATGACAAGAGGAAGAAGGAAGAGGAGAAAGAAATTGCTGCTGCATATGTTGATACGAAAACATCTGTAGAAGACTTGTGGAGAAGGGAAAAAACTAGAGAAGAAAAAAAATTATTGGAGATGTTGAATATGGGCATTCCTTTTTCACGTGACTTTGATATTAGGCTCCTGGGAGTTGTCAAAGAAGGATTTTATCATAATTTCACCGTGCGGGATGTTCATAATTTATCTGATGATGAGAACAAGTGGCTTCAACATTTTCTGACATTAAAAGTGGACAAGTAAGTATGAAGTAGTTATTTATGAATTTTCTGTGATATTTTTATGTAATCTGTGATAATTACTTGTTTTGTGTGACCCTTAGTGTTTTCATGTGATATTTACATGTACATTGTGGTAATTAGTTTGTTTGTGTGACTTGTAACTGTTACATGTGATATTTACGTGCACTCCGTGACAATAGTTTCTTTGATACTTATACGTTGATTGTGTTGTGCATATTATCTAGAAATAGGACTGTTTATGAGGTCAACAACCACAGTATAAACATATATGATATGCTTCATCTGCTACGTGGTGGAAGACTAAAAGATGAGATTAGATTTTTTATTTAACTTGTATTATTCAAGTCTTCTACTTTTACATGATTTATTGCATTTGCAATCATTAGACTGTTGAAGCATTGGTTGCAAGACTTCAGAAATGGCTCAAACTACCAGAAAATGTGGATCTGGAAAGAAAAATTATGATAATCACATCATATTCAATCATAAAGCTTTTCTAAGTAATGTTGCATTTAAATGTTATTTGACTTTCTTCCACTTTTTTTCTTTTTTAAAGATTTGGTTGCTAACTGCTTCAAATGTGGACGAGAAAAATGTATATAAAGAAGCATATAGATGATGAGAAGGAAATCTGTTAATTCATGCTGATCGCTAGCATGTCATTGAGATCAATTTGGGGCAAAAAACATACAGACATTACAGTTCTGCTGACCATGAGACATAGGCTAGTGACGTTTTGAAAATCCAACCATTTCTAGATAGGATGGTAAGTGGATTCGACCAAACATCAACATTCAGAGCATTCAAATATGAAGTTATTCCTTGTCCATTGCAAAAAGGCTCGTAAGTTTCCATATACAGCTTATACTACTAGTTTATTAATTTCTATGATACTTGCTCCTTATCTGTGATGCATAATCATTCTCAGTGACATTTCCTTATCATATGTGACTGTTGTGCATTTTTTTGTGACATGCTTATTGTCAGTGACATATGCTAGTGTTATATGACATTTATACATTCTGTGTGACATATACTTATTGTCAACGACATATATTTATTTTCTGTGACATTTGTATATACTGTGTGACTTTTACTCATTATTTGTGATAGTTTAGTATTATCTTGTGATGCCTAGATATTATCTATCATTAAGGTATCACCTATGACTTTACACATTTAAATTTTGCTATATATGACTGTTACTTCACCTCTTTTCTATTTAGGTACGATTGTGGCATACATGCATATTTATACATCAAAACGATTATTGAAGGATAGGAGGTCATGGACATTGAGACTTTACAAAAGGAGTCTGAGATATTGATAATTATATTTTTATTATAATTTTATATCCTCATTATCTATTTTACATG